TCCCGCCTGGCGCTCCCCTCACCCAAACAGCGCCGGCAGCCCCCTCAGGCCGCCAGGTTCACGAGTTCGTCGGCAGCGCCGTTCACCGCGAACTCCAAGTCCTCTGCTGCTCTCGCCAGTGTCTTCAAAATCGACGCGACCGGCGACTGGACCCTCGTCCAGCCGTGCCGGTGCGCCGCAGACAGGTCACCGCGGGATACCGCGTCAGCAACGTTAGCCTTCGACGGCACCCGTCGAAAGTCAGGCAGCCAATCCGACAGCGAGGCGGTGGCCCAGAAGGACGCCAGGATGCCGTTCACCGCCGGGTCCTTGCCATATCCCTTGGTGAGGGCCCACTGGCCGGCGACGTTGTCGATGAACGCCAGCCACCGCTGCGGAAGGCGACGTCCCATCGTCACCAGCGCCAGCACCTGCGCCAAAATCTCGAGGACATAGATGAAGGCCTTCCGCGCCGCGAAGACGTGGAGGAACTCGGCCGGGGCGACGCCATAGTCGTAGTAGACGTCGTCGCCGATACGGACGACGTAGCCCCAGCCGTTCTGTCCCCGTGTGCCCGGCTTGATGGCCACCTCCGCCGGGATGTGACCCGCCTTGTGCCGTACCTCGCCGGGCTTGTAGAAGGCGTCGGCATAGATGATCGCCTGAGGCATGCCGTCATCGACGTAGGGGACGACCTTGGGCTGGATGTTCGCCAGCAGGTGCCGTAGCGACAACAGCGCCGCCCGCAGTCCCGCGGACAGCCTGGTGTCCGACGCAGCAGCCGCGTCGTGTGCCCTGGAGTACACCGGCTGAAGCGCCGCCTTGCCGACGGCTCCGAAGGTAGACTGTGTCACGAAGTTGAGCCGTCCCGCCAGGCGGCTGGCGATGTCGGGTGCCAGCTCGTCCTCCGCCAGGGCAGTGTCGATGGTGGTGAGGACCTTCTGCAGTCTCGCCGGCGTGGGTTGCAGCACCACGCCGGCCCGAGTGATCGACACCAGCACGCCCTGGACGATGTGCTCTGTCGCCGGCTTTTGTGCCTTCGACGGCTTCGTCTGCAGGCCGAGTTGGTCGAGGAACTCGGCCATCCCCTCGAAGGCGCCGGGCGCCAGCTCATCCAGGTCGACGCCGTTGAAGTCGTCGACGTAGTGGCCGGAGACGATCCAGAGCAGCACCCGCTGCAGCGCCTGCAGTGCGTCGGCAGTTCGGTTAAAATTCCAAACCGACGCCGCCGCGCCGAAGCACATCGCCATGTGGAACCACATGGTGACCCCGTTGGGCGCCGGCAAGAATGTGCCAGAGTGCGCCGGCTCCTTAACCGGCCACTGCCGGTAGGCGTTGAGGAGGTCATGGCCGAAGATGCGCAG